AACCCTAAAACCCTAAACCCGGAAGCTTCAACACTGAAACCCCACAACCCTGGTACACCCGTCCCGCAAAGCCAAAGCAACAACCGCGATGCTCCGGACCCGAAGCGTTTGGGGTTTAGGGATTTAGGGTTCAGGATTTAGGGACTTAGGGTTTAGGATTCAGGGATTTAGGGTTTAGGGTTGAGGGCTTAGGGGGTTTAGGGTGTAGGGGTGTGGGGGTTTAGGGATTTAGAGTTTAGGGGTTTAGGCGTTTAGGGTTCAGGGCTGCGGGGTTTTTTTTTAGGGATTTAGGGTTTAGGGGTTTAGGGGTTGAGGGATTTAGCAGCCATTTGGTAGTTTACATTAAGTGCCTGACGGTCTTTGGCAAGTGAGCAGCCGCGGCACCAAACAGCCGTAGAGCAGAATTCACTGCCTGCATTAAACCCTAAACCCTAAACCCTAAAAGCCTAAACCCTAAACCCTCTTAGGCAAGGCAAATGTCCCTGAAGCCAAATGGAAACCCTCAGCCCAAACCCGGTTGGGTTTAGGGGGTCTTGGGTTGACATAGGGTTTTAAGGCTAACCCAACAGAAAGTCTGCAGATCAGCCCCGTCTTGCGTTCATACTTGCCAGCAGACGTGTGGCTTCTCCCACAACCGTCTGCACTCATCTTCCCAGACCTTCCAATATCCCTTAGTTAAGGAATAGACCTTAAATCATCCCGGAAATAAGGGATTTTGGGAAGTCTGTTTTTCAATGCCAGCCATAGCTTGCAACATGACTGCTGCCGTCGCGACATAGGCTCCGTCTGCTCATTCAGCTGGTGTGGGGTTTAGGTTTTACGGCTTAGGGTTTAGAGTAGAGTTTAGGGTTTAGGACAAGTCACACACCTGGCTCCATCGCGGCAGACATGTGATGCCATCCGCGTCCACCCAGCCGGCCCCAGCATTAGGTGCTGCTGCCAATTGCAAGCCCTGACGCCCTCACCACAACTTCTATGGTGATTCTGCACCTGAAGATTGGCTTCGGTTGAGAATAACCGGTTACTTGGGCTGCATGTGCTTAACCTTACTATTTTGATAACAGGAGCCCTATGGAAACACTGGCGATAGTGGACGTTGGCGATCGTCAACAGGCAACTGAACAGGCCCAAGTGCTACTTCTTCCTTGCTTCAGTCTGGTTTGCTGACGTTTCGTAGGGTTTAGGGTGCAGGGGTTTAGGGTTTGGGTTCAGGGTTAGGGGTGTAGGGGTTTAGAGTTGCCAGCCCCTGCGGGCTTAAGTAAGGGCGAAACCCAAACCCGAAACCCTCAAGCCCTAAACCCCAAACCCCTAAAACCCTAAAAGGCCTGAACCCCTAAGGTCCTAAACCCCAAACTCCAAAGCCCTAAACCCGAAGCCCTAAACCCAGAAAGCCCTAAACCCCTAAGGCCCTTAACCCTAAACCTCTAAGGCCATAAACACTTAACCGTCTAGGTCCCTAAACCCAAAAAAACCCTAAAGCCCTAAAGTCCTGAACCGCTAAGGCCCTAAACCCTAAAACCCCAACAAAGCCCTAAACCCCGAAGGCCCTAAATCCCTACAGCCCCGCAACCCCTGAAGCCGCAATGCCCTTCTTTCCTGTTGCGAGGCGCCCCGCACATCGTCGATGCTGGAGACTCGGAGATCGAAGCTGCCGGCCAGCGAGACGCAATTCTCGGTGGTTTAGGGTTCAGGGTCTAGAGTCTAGTAGGGCATTGTAAGGATTTTAGGGATTAGGGGTTTAGGAGTTCAGGGTGGGTTTAGGGTTTAAGTTTGGAGTAAATACTGAAAGGGTTATTCGGATATTGTAGGGGCATTAGTTACAAGGGATACTATATTCCGAGTATTATAGGGGCGTCATAAGTTATAAGGGATACTATAAGGATTATTCGGGAACTAAAGGGGCATCCTAACGGTAGCAATAAGGCTACTATAAGGGTGTCGGGGGGTTGGGCCGAATCGTCCTGTAATGGGTTCTTTCGGAGTAAAGGAGGAAAGCTGAACAATCAAGTTTTAGAGGTTTAGGGCTTAGGCTTCAGTGTTTTCGGGTTTAGATGGTAACTTCAAAGTTTTACTATCATTTAAGTTGCATAGCAAGAATGCGCACCTAAACCCTAAACCCTGAACCCGGGCCCGAACCGACAGCCGAAGACAGTTTAGGCTCCACGGTGTCGGGAGCATCGGTTCAAGGTCCAGGGTAGGGTTTAGGGTTTAGGGTTTAGGGTTTAGGGTTTAGGGTTTAGGGTTTAGGGTTTAGGGTTTAGGGTTTAGGGTTTAGGGTTTAGGGTCCAGGGATCAGATCTAGGGACCAAGTAGCCTCATATAGGGGCTGTTTAATAATTAGAATAGGGTTCAGGTTTAGGGTTTAGGGTTTTGGGCTCCTGTATAGTAGAAATTAGTAAAATAGTAATCAGGCAATTATTTAGGCTTCCATATTAAACCCTAAACCGTGCATACTACCAGTGTTCCAGTGACCGGGCCCTTTGAAACGAACAGTGCGAAATACACAGGCGCGGGCATCATAGCTTTACCAAGCCGTGTCACCGGTTAGTTTTATTGGGCTTATGGGCTGAAAGACCTGATCGCCCTAAACCCTAAATCCTAAACCCTAAACCCTAAACCCCAGGGATTCAGGGTTGGGATCAGAGGGACGCGTGCTCTGAGTTGATACGAACCTTACTCCCCTGCAGAAAGTGTGTTGTGGAGATCCTAATGAAAGGACTAAGGGCTTAGGGTTTAGGGTTTAGGGTTGAGGAACCATCATCCCAAATGGAAGAAACAGAAAAAACACTGCAGGAGAGTCTATTTGTAAATATGGGTGCTTCCGACTGTAGACCCCAACCCTAAATCCCGAACCCTAAACCCTCAACCCTGAACCCCTAAACCCTGTACTTCATTAGGGCTTGAGACGAATCGGGCTTAGGACACAGGTCCCGACTCAGGATCATCAGCAGCACAGGGACCACTGGGCCCTGCATCCTAATTCCCAAAGAGCCGCAGCCCTTTTCCGCAGAAATAAGGGACCTAGAACTCACAGATCGCGCACCTTTGGAGGTTCAAAGACTTTACAACCATGCAGATCTCATATGATAGGTCCTCTAGACTGCTGCTTGTTGTTTGAGGGTTTACGACTTTAGGGTATGGGGTCGTTGACACAGAAATGCTATGCATCTTCCGCCCGAGCGGCATAATCCGGTTCATAGCATACCTCCGTAGCGTCGCAGTTGAAGGACGGGTGCTTCGTGCCCTCGGATTGGCGGCTTCTGCAGCACCGCACTACTGGGCTGTTAAAACAGGGGTGCCGGTATCAGTATGTTATGTCTGATGTTGTGTTAAACAATAATGAAGCCTATAGATCCTTCATAAACCAAAAACCCTAAATGCCACACCCTGAGCCCTGAGCCCTAACGCCGGATCCCTCAGCCTAAACCGGTGTCAAACATGAGATAGGGGGAGGCGGGGGGTTCTGGGAACTTCGAAAAACAAGGGACACCCAGATGTGTGTCTGTATGTTTGTATCTATATGTGTGTAGATCTATGCTCAAAAATGTTTTGGCATGTGTAAATGCTGTTAAAACAGAGTTTTGTATGTATCTGTATAGACATACACACACATGCACATGTGTGTCTACACATATGCAGCTGTATGTATACATATGTATTTACATACATACATACACATTTGTGTGGTTGCGAACAAGTAAACACATCAACGAACAGTCAGCCACGCAAACACATTCATAGCAAACTGAAAATGTACAAATATGAACATGAATACAGATGAGGCGAGCTGTACATGTGCAAACATAATCATGACTACAGATAAAAAGGAGTTTTACGTAACGATTTAAGTTTACATATACGCATATAGGTACATATACCATATACATATACTTATATATATATATACATACACATACACAAACAGGAAATAAAACAAACAATTAGTATATGTATATGTACATTTACAAATACACACACACACACACACATATATATATATATACTTGCATCTAAATATATACATAAATACACGGTTCGTTTAAGGGCCCTGATTCCATCTGTAGTTTTTTTACAGAATAGTGTCGAAATTCAATGGTTTGGGACATATTGTGTGTGTCGGATGGGTGGCGGGTGGAAAAAGGTGGGGGGTCTCGGGTTGTAACATTTAGGCTTGATTCTATCGTGAGGATGCAACCTAAGGTCTATGTGTAGTTACGAACCGAACGAGGTTTCAATCAGGATGCTTATAGCCACGGAAAATCGAAGTATACATGTCAATGGAACTATGCACCTAGACATTAATGTAAAGATACATAATTTAAACAACGGCAGATAAATACACACATACTTACACGTCGATCGATCTATCTATGCACATGTCTATCTATCTACCTGTCTTTCTATCTACCTACCTATCTGTTTACCTATTTATCCGTCTATCTGACTATCTATATAAATGCAATATAGTATTTATTACGAGTAACATTACTATTGCTTTCAGTCTTATTATGCATATACCTACATCTATTTCTGTATCTATATCCGTACACAGAGTTAGTGCTAGGTGCACACACACACACATATATATATATATATACACATATCCAGATCTAAGTCAAGATCTACATATATATATATATATGGTCGCCCCCCGTTGACAGACCATGCCCTCTCAACTGAGTAGATGTGCATGGTGTGTCATCGGATGGGTGGCGATCAGCCCTCACAAACTCAATTCCAAAATTTCCAATATTCTCGCCCCTAACTTTCCGGATTTCCAAAAT